TTTCATTCATGGATGGATTTTCGGGGTACAATCAGATCAAGATGCATCCCGAAGACATGGAAAAGACCACTTTCGTCACAATGTGGGGAACTTTCTGTTACAAAGTGATGCCTTTCGGATTAAAGAATGCTGGGGCAACATATCAGAGAGCTATGGTGACCCTGTTCCACGATATGATGCACAAAGAAATCGAGGTTTATGTCGACGACATGATTGTCAAGGCACAGACCGAGAGTGAACATGTCAAGAATCTGAGGAAGCTCTTCCAGAGATTGAGAAAGTTCCAACTGAGACTAAACCCTAGCAAGTGTACCTTCGGGGTAACATCTGGAAAACTACTAGGCTTTATAGTCAGCAGGAGAGGCATACAGGTCGATCCAGATAAGGTTAAGGCTATCCAGAATCTACCTCCACCACGAACTCAAAAAGAAGTCCGAGGTTTTCTGGGCAGACTAAACTACATAGCTCGGTTCATCTCTCAGTTAACCGACAAATGTGACCCCATCTTTCGTCTCCTCCGGAAAAATAGCCCTGGAGCATGGGATAAAAATTGTCAGATTGCATTTGAGAAGGTAAAAGAGTACTTGTCTCACACTCCTGTCCTGATGTCCCCTATCCCAGGAAAACCTCTGTTTTTGTATCTCTCCATATTCGAGAACTCCATGGGGTGTGTTCTGGGTCAACACGATGAGTCTGGGAAGAAGGAAAGAGCCATCTACTACTTAAGCAAGAAGTTCACCGATTGCGAGGTCCGATATCCTCCTATTGAGAAGGTTTGTTGTGCCCTGGTCTGGGCTACAAAAAGACTTCGACAATACATGTTGTATCACACCACTTGGCTGATTTCCAAGTTAGACCCACTAAAATACATGATGGGAGTACCTGCTCTATCCGGAAGGTTAGCCCGATGGCAGATGCTTTTGTCTGAATTTGACATCGAATACGTGAGCCAAAAAGCGGTAAAAGGCAGCGCCATATCCGATTTTTTGGCAAGCAGAACTGATGAGAGCTATGAGCCGCTGGATTTTGATTTCCCAGACGAGGACTTAATGGCCATATCTTTAGAGGAAGCAAGCATTTCGGCGGACAGTTCCTGGAGAATGCACTTCGATGGGGCATCAAATGCACTAGGACATGGCATCGGGGCAATTCTAGTCTCCCCAGAAGGGAGTCACTACCCATTTACCAGCAGACTGAACTTTGATTGTACCAATAACATGGCAGAATATGAAGCCTGTGTCTTGGGAATTCGGGCTGCACTAGGGCAAAATATAAAGACTTTACGGGTGTATGGAGACTCAGCCTTAGTAGTCTATCAGCTCCGAGGAGAGTGGGAAACCAAGGATATAAAGCTGTTAGAGTACCGAAAACTAGTGTTGGATCTGCTCGAAGAGTTCGACGAAGTCACCTTCCACTACGTGCCTAGAGAAGAAAATCAAATGGCTGACGCTTTAGCTACCTTGGCAGCCACATTCAAGGCTGGCGGGGAGTCTGAAATGATGCCAATTAACATGCAGTCATACGAGTACCCAGCTCATTGTTACCAAATTGAAGAAGTGAAAGACACTAAACCTTGGTACTACGACATTCTGCAGTATATCAAGCATCAGAGTTATCCAGAAAAAACCACTGAAATCGAGAAGAGAACCCTTAGAAGGTTGGCAGCTGGATATGTCCTTGACAGAGAGGTTTTATACAAGAAAAGCCATAACCAAGTTCTGTTAAGGTGCGTCGATGCCGAAGAGGCAAAAATGATAGTGGAAGAAGTACATGATGGGGTTTGTGGAGCACATGCAAATGGGCATATGATGTCAAGACAAATATGAGATGCGGATATTTTTGGTCCACACTGGAAAGTGATTGCATCAACTATGCTAGGAGATGTCATAAATGTCAGATTTATGGAGACAAGATAAATGTTCCACCCCATCCACTTCATGTAATGACGTCACCATGGCCTTTTTTCGTGTGGGGCATGGACGTTATCGGGCAAATCCATCCGAAGGCTTCGAATGGTCACCGTTTCATTCTCGTAGCAATTGATTATTTCACGAAATGGGTAGAGGCCGCGTCATACGCCAGTGTCACTCAATCCACTATTTGCAAGTTTCTGAAGAAAGAAATTATATGTCGGTATGGTCTACCTGAAAGGATTATCACCGATAACGCAACAAACTTGAACAACAAGATGATGAGTGCTGCTTGCGAACAATTCAACATAAAACATCACAATTCCACTGCTTACAGACCAAAGATGAACGGAGCAGTAGAGGCAGCAAACAAAAATATTAAGAAGATAGTGGAGAAAACAACTGAAACCTACAAAGACTGGCATGAGAAGTTGCCTTTTGCTTTGTTCGCCTATCGAACCTCGGTACGTACATCGACTGGGGCAACTCCATTTTCACTAGCCTATGGAATGGAAGCAGTGCTACCCATTGAAGTCGAGATTCCGTCTCTCAGGGTCTTGTCAGAAGTAAAACTAGATGATGCAGAGTGGGCACAATCCAGATATGATCAGCTTAATCTGATAGATGAAAAAAGACTGAAAGCCATTCATCATGGTCAAATCTATCAGAAACGAATGATCCGAGCACACGACAAAAAGGTGCGCCCGAGAATATTCCGTGAGGGGGATCTAGTGCTAAAAAGAATTTGGCCAGTCCAGAAAGATTTCCGAGGAAAATGGACGCCAAATTGGGAAGGACCTTATGTCGTGAAGAAGGCTTTCTCCGGAGGAGCCCTTATCCTGGCTGAAATGGACGGACCTGAGCTGCCACATCCCATTAACTCGGACGCAGTCAAGAAATACTTCGCTTAGGATGAAAACCCGAGAGGGCGTCCTAAGTTGAAAAAAAAATGAAAAAGAAAGAAAAAAAAAAAAAAAAAAGAAAGAAAAAACGTTTGGGGTGAAAACCCGAAAGGGCGCCCTAAATTGGAAAAAAGAAAAAAGGAAAAAAAAGAGAAAATAAGGTGGGTTCAAGATGAAAACCCGCAAAGGGCGTCTTGCAACTAAGGATGGGTCCAAGTTGAAAACCCGGAAAAGGCGATTTGGTTATCAACGGTGGAAACATCCCGGCACATGAATCTTCCACGAACTCAACAAATCGGAGAAATGTTGCACCCTCCCAAACGTTGTCGCATTTTCAAAGATCCTTTGGCAAAGGCTGCATTCAAAGTCACCAAACGGCTTTTCAACTCAGAAGTGCCCACGTTATCGAGGTCTAAGACATTCATTTACACATCATTGTGTATTCGTTTTCTAGAATGTTTGCCATGTATTATTTGTTCTTCTCCTCCCTTATGAATAAAGACCATCTTTCCTCCAATACCTTTTGAGCATCTTGAATTAGATTTAAACCTAATGGTTTATTTATTTTTATGAAAGATAATCACATATTGTTGTACAAAGATTCATTGAAAAGTACAGGTACTCAGAAGCCGATCAAGGCTCATGCACATGCTTGAGATGGTTGAGGGGCATCTTCAAAAAAAAAAAAATCATCAAACATTTGAAGAATTTAAGATCAGAGATCGGAACTTCAAGCTCAAGAGTCAACAACGACAGGCCACCGGAGATCGAGATTACTCTCCAGAGCTCAGAATAACATATGTTGCATATGCATTTTAGGCATACCTAAGAGCATGACATCCATAACATCACATATATGCATATCTTTGCAGGTTTTACCCAGAGCCAATTTCAACTTCACAACGAAGGATATTGGACTCCAGACAACGCAAGTTCAACTTCACGACGAAGGGACCGCTGGTTGTCAACAAACATTTCTCAATTTCAGAGCCAATTTCAACTTCACAACGAAGGATATTGGACTCCAGACAACGCAAGTTCAACTTCACGACGAAGGGACCGCTGGTTGTCAACAAACATTTCTCAATCCCAGAGCCAATTTCAACTTCACAACGAAGGATATTGGACTCCAGACAACGCAAGTTCAACTTCACGACGAAGGGACCACTGGTTGTCAACAAACATTTCTCAATTTCAGAGCCAATTTCAACTTCACAACGAAGGATATTGGACTCCAGACAACGCAAGTTCAACTTCACGACGAAGGGACCGCTAGTTGTCAACAAACATTTCTCAATTTCAGAGCCAATTTCAACTTCACAACGAAGGATATTGGACTCCATACAACGCAAGTTCAACTTCACGACGAAGGGACCGCTGGTTGTCAACAAACATTTCTCAATTTCAGAGCCAATTTCAACTTCACAACGAAGGATATTGGACTCCAGACAACACAAGTTCAACTTCAAGACGAAGGGACCGCTGGTTGTCAACAAACATTTCTCAAATTCAGAGCTAATCTCAACTTCACAACGAAGGATATTGGACTCCAGACAACGCAAGTTCAACTTCACGACGAAGGGACCGCTGGTTGTCAACAAACATTTCTCAAATTCAGAGCCAATTTCAACTTCACAACGAAGGATATTGGACTCCAGGCAACGCAAGTTCAACTTCATGACGAAGGGACCGCTGGTTGTCAATAAACAATTACCCAATTTCAGCTTCACAACGAAGTATCTTTGGCTAGAAGACGATCCATGAGCTACCTCCAGAACTCTGAGTTCGATTTCAACTTCACGAGTTCGATTTCAATTTCACGACGAAGGATTCAGGCTCAGAATCTTCCAGTTTTAACTCAACCTCACGACGAGGGAGTCATCTCGTGTTTTAAAAACCAGTCTCAACATCGAATTTCAACTCTACGACAGAGGATATTCGATGTGGACGAAATTTATGTCTTTTAATCTTTGCTCTATTTTCGTTACACGACAATGAGCAAAGAGGGGCAGCTGAATACACAAAATTTCGTCCTTATATATATATTTATATTATAAATTATATTATATATTTATTACATTTTTTCTTTTCTTTTCAGGGCCCAACAGCACCAGGCCCAAACCCACGTCAAACCCGTGTAGACTTAGGGTTTCCAGAAACCCTAAGCGCCGCATGCCCTCCCTCGATCTCATCCAGCGCCGTTCTGCTCAAGGATACCATGACCAAATTCCTTGATCCACAGCCCCCACGAGTCTTCGCCATACACGCCTCTATCCCATGCTTCTCGGCAACAGATCAACATCGTGGATGTTTAGGACACCAAAATAGCAAATAACAAGTGTTTTAGTCCAAACAAACCTCTTAAAATTCGGAACTAGAGATAGCATTATTATGTGTATAAATACCCATGTAATCAACAATATCAGGGGGTGGATACGATTTTACAAAAAGATTACACGAAAATTACCCAAGAACGTTAGCAGAGATACGAAAGGCAAAAGCAAGCATTTTTTTTTTGTAAGATTCCTCGGAAATAAATAAGAGAAGGTATCGTTTTTACCTTGTTCATTTGTATTTCACTCTTGCATGTTGATTCCTCCTCGCGATTTAGCTCGAAAATACCAAATAAAAAATTTTGGCCGATGAACGGGAAAAGTTTCTGAGATCTATCTTTGTAGATCTAGCAATCCCGAGGCCCGATCAAAAAAAAACTATTCGGATTTTGGAAAACCAGAGGAAAAGAGCTTCGAAAAAAAAAAAAAAGGGTTTTGCCGCCGATGAACGGCGGCCGTCCCGTTCAGCGGCGGCGGCGAGGCGGCGCAAGGTGGCCATCGGCCGTTTTCTGGATTTCATGGTGGCCGTGTTCTTCAGTTGAAGAACACGGTTGAATGTGGAGAGGAAATGAGAGGGACGAGTATTCGGGCGAAAGAAGAAGAGAAAATGAAATAAAAAAGCATTTGATCCGTTTATATCAGATCCGCGTTTTGCAATAAATTAGGGTAAACTACCCTTTTGGTCCCTCGCAGCTTTTAAAGAGTTATTTTGACCCCGAATTTGCTTTTGAATTGGTCTCTAATTCTGATTTTCTTTCACTTTAGCCACCTAACTTGTTTTTTGATTCAATTTAATACTTATACTAACCTTTTTTTATTTATTCCATATCATGTAATTATATATCTATATACGTATTTTCTATATATTTCATCTATATACTTAGTGTTAATACATATATTATTTTAATTAACTTTTTTTTATCTAGCTACTACATCTTATAATTTTATACGTTATTTATGTATTTTTTATTATTTACCAATCTTACTCATTTTATCTTATAATTATATTTCTATTAATATATATATATATATATTTTTTGCATTTACATATGTATATACATATATATATATATATATTCATTTTACCTATTATTGATATTTTTCCTTTTTAATACTTTAATATATATATTTCTTGTTTCATTCATTAATTATTTATTCCATTTTTATTTTATTTATTTCCCCTTTTACTTTTTACTATTATTATTATTTATTTATTTATGCTATCATATTATATTTTTTATTATTATATACGTATATGTATTACTCATTTTTTACTCTTTATTTCTATATATCTTTTATGTATTTTTTATATTCTACATATATATATATTTTATTTATTATTTTCATCATTATTATTTCATTACTATTTTTACTATTATAATTGTTATTTTTATTATATGTATATTACGCATATTTTTTTTTCCTCTTTCTTTTTTTTCATTTTCATTGCTTTATATTTTATTTTATTATGTGTATTTTTTTATCCATTTATATTTTATTATATTTTCTTCTTTTTCTTTATTTGTATTTTCGTTTTTTTCCTTTGCATATTTTATTTTATATTTAGTCATATTTCATTCTTTTTTTATACATTGTTTTTTTTTATTGTTTCGTTTGTTCGCCCTATTTTTCTATTTTATTACTTCCATTACCTAACATTTTCCTTGGCTTTTTGAGAGAACTTCAAACAATTAGTGGTAAGCAATTTGGATCAATATTTTACCTTTTAATTTAACTTTCAATTTTCTTAATTAAAGACAACTGGAAATTACACAGTACCGAAAGGGCAGTTCAAGGGTGCTAGCCCTTCCTTGACTGTAACCGACTCCCGAATCCGACACATCTCTGGTAAGACGCAGATCAGGTAAGAAATAGGGTATCCGATCAACCCATTTATTTTTAAATAAATGATCGGTGGCGACTCCAATCCCCATTTTCCTAAGTCGAAGCCCAATTCCGGGGCCCAACCGAAAGACGGTTCCGACACCGTGAAGTGCCTCTTGAGAATTCTGAAGATCTGATTACGTAGAATTAGCCCGTCGTTGACAGCAATCATTCCAACCTACAATGAAACTGTAAGAAACCGGAGTTTTTCACCCAATCAAGAAAGCTAACTGACTAACCTAGGTCGAGTTCCTAACTCGTCCAACAGGATCAAATGGTTTGCAAACCAATTTAAAAATGAATTAAAGGGTTTCACTTTGTACTAATACAGAGATAGGGTTATTCTGGTTATATCATATACCTTTGGAAGCCTGAACCAGCACGGTCGACCTCTGCGAGTATGAGATCGATCCATGATATCATCATGAACGAGAAAATATTCTTGGAGCTGCACAAATCGATGTTAAAGGAAGTCAATAGCAGTACAACAGATATTAAACAACTCTTTAAATTATTGATGAAAACTGAAAACGAATATGACTAATAGAGCGTTTATGTATCCTTCAGCCACACCCATTCAATGCACCAACCAAGGGCACAAGCAAGAAAAACTTCATCATCACTCAGTTCTTTTCCTTCTTTCATTGACTTGAACACGTCGATGACCGACAATCCTCGGTTCATCTTACCTGGAAACAGTATAGTCAGTAAGCAAACATTGATTCCGATACAAAGCCTATTTACTACGGATTTCTGGTTATCGAGAACCCCAATCAATCCGCACCTTGAGGTACATTGTAATCGAGCACCAGCAACAAAAGGAGAAACCAGACTATCATGATTTACATTTTTCTCAGTAAGAAACCACTAAAGAAAGGAGATGAATGAAAATAATTAGTTTCACATAATAGGGTATATGCTATTTAAATACCAGAGTGCACGTATAGCCTAAAAAAACAGAAAAAAAATATGATGCATCAATTCATGATCAGCGTCATTTTATACTGAATGCAAAGTTCAATAATGAAACCATCGACGACGGACAATAACCACACGGCTAAAACCAACGATTATAACTCCCCCCACCTCCCACTGACAAGTGACAAACATGTTCATCAAAAGCTACAACCATGCAACACTAAATTCAAAAGAATGAAATTTTAACAGAATCCAAACAAAGAACTCCATAAACTATAAAGCATCCACTTTTAAGACTTAAGAACAAGAACCAAACGTGAAACCATCGACTACCAACAATAACAATAGAAAGAAAGAGAGAGAGATGGGAAATTACACGCTCTACCCACTGTCGGGAATCATCGGTAAATTCAAAACAAGTGTCATTAAGAAGCTCTGATTTAAGTACAGAATAAACCTGCATAAACTTGGATTTTAACTCACTCGTATCTTGGATTTCCACTCTATACCTTCTTTCCGGTGGTGGAACTAGAAGAAAGAAAGAAAGAAAAAAAGATACTAGAACTGAACTGAGATTCTCATAGATATTGTCATTGTTATTACAAAGAGAAAGTGGTACTCAAACCACTTAGATACACGCATTCCATGAATGCATCCATATATATAAGGTTTAGTTTAGTATTCTAACCTAAAAAGGAGTTTGGAAATAATAAAAGTTTTGATATATTGAGATAATAAGATTAAAAACACTAATTTCTTAGTTATTTTAATTTGGTTTGTCAAATTACCACGAGTAGCTAAAACATTTTTACTCATTTAGTACAACTTTTATCATGCATCGAGTTTTCTAAATTATCATGAACGAAAGATACTACATTTGTGTGCAATTAATGAAGTTGTAATCTTTGATTGTATGCAAGTTCAATAAAAGGTTTTAGCTTGTACCTGTTATTGAATAAGATCGGATCGAATTCGGATTGAATCCATGTAAAATATTTATATTCATTTCCTTTGTTCAAGTTCGATTCAACCCAAAATATGGATCGAGTTCTGTCCAAACCCGGCCGCAATACAGATTTGAGAACCCGTGCTCGACTTGTTACGCTCATATTAAGCTTAAACTAAATTGAGTCTTTTGTAAACGCAGCCAGTACAAGGATTAAAGCCTTCAAAATGGATCTGCAAAAGCAATTAAAATTTTAAATTAGCATATAAATATATTCTAAACATTCTGTAGTCTGTACTAACTCAATAATTACTTCTAAAAGCAAACAAAGTTTACTACAAGAAACATATATATTTAGACAATAAGTTGCCTTTTTCTTTTGTCGCAAAAAATTAAATAATAATAATAAAGAGTGAACCATTCTCTTATTTTTCTCTACTTCATTATATATTTTAGACAAGTTGTACCTAACGGAGTAAAAATCAAATGGTAAAGAGAGAATAGAGCATACCAGTAAGTACTTTACTCCAACGCAACGCTGCAAGATAGCTGGGGACAAAAACACTGAGATTTAAAGGTCGGTATTGCAGTTGAAGATAGTTTTAGACTTTTAGATTTTGTTTCTTACATTAAAATTAGGTTCCGGGTTGGGTTTGGGGCCATTTGGACCTTTGAAGTCAAGTGTAAAAATGGGTTTAATTAATTGTTTATGTTTTAAATACAGTTTAAAAAGACAGAACATATACGAAATGTAAATTTTTTAGGGAAAATTATATAAATAAATTTTCGATTATAGAGGGTTACTTTATTGAGTTATTATTATTAAAGTTATAAAATAATTTTTTAACAAAGAGTGGTTGGAAGAGGTTGCCTCGTCAATTGGATCAAGTAGGTTTTTGCTAACCTAATCACCTTGTTTTGGAATATATGAAATAGGCACAAGAAGTGGATTCATGATAAAGAATTTCAAGTGGATAAAGATGTTAATAATGCACTAGTACTTGCTACTGTTTTTTTCAAGGCCAGTACAAAAAATAGCACAACAGCTTCCACCACGAGCACTCACTAGTGTCATTTTTGGAAGTGTCCAATCGATTGTTTAAAAATAAATATAGATGGAGTTTTTATTGTGAGAATTGATGAAGCAATCATAGATGAAGTAGCTTGTGATCATCATGGTATCGTCCTTTGTGGTTTCGCTCATAAGCTTGAGTCTCTTCAAACTCTTGAATCGACTGAAGCAATTGTATTTATTCATGGTTTAATAATGACGACCAAGAATGACCGGAAGAATGTTTTTTATTGAAGGAGACGTAATCACCATTGTCAGCCGTTTGATCAATTGAAGAAAATATATCTTGGTCACTAGATTGTTGTTCAAGGCACACGCAACGCTCATTAATTATTCAAATTTCAAAATGTTTTATAAACATCGAGAGGCGAATAAGATGACACACATCTTGGTACATCAGATCTTCTCGAGGATCAATTCTCTGTTTCCTTTATAATGAACCTAAATGTATTAAAAATGATGTAATTCTTAATGTTATTTGTATTTAAACGAATACATTTTATCTTAAAAATAAATAAATATACGTCAGAAGGCCCAAACAAGACACGGTCCAATATTAAAGTAAAGAAATTCAATTGAGCTGATGTAGACCCAAGTCGAACAACCCGTTTAACCGACAATACCTTGCTCAGATTCGAAATCCGAATATTGTTTATTTATTTGGCTTTCTTGTGTGAAGGAGAAATTCTTTTTCTCTTCCTCCCGCGAGCTTTCTTCGTCCTGTCGAATTTATTGGCGGTTCAGACAAAGGTAAAACTCTAATTTTCCTTTTGTTTTAATTTATTTTCTGATTTAGGGTTTAATCTGATCGTTGGAACTTTTTTCCCTTTACTTTTTCTGTTTGTTTGCAATGGAAATTAGAATCGGAAAGAGTTGGCGTTTTTTCGTATGTGATCAAATTTTTGTTTTAAGTTGAATCAATTATTCTAGTTAGTTGACTCTTTACTCTTATTTTAGTTTTTTAGACTTTTATATGCCCAGCGTCCCCCCCTCGATTATTTTGCATTGATTGTTATAAGAATATATGTTGAATTAGGCGGATTATGGTTATTTGGTATGCATCGATTCATCGAATGAATATTAGGGTTCTGCACTTGTTCTGATATGATGAAGTTTGTTTATAAATTAAACCAACTGTTCAAATTATTTAGCTTTTTCTGCTTATTCCCAATTGTAATTTTTGAAAAATTGTGTCTTTCTTAGATACCCAGAAGTTATTTCTTTTCCCCATTCTTTTGCATTGAACGTTAATAGAATATATGTTTAATTAGGCAGGTTCAGTTTATTTGTTGATAATATTTTGAAGAAAACATGACAACTGCTGCTAGACCAACATGGCAACCTGCCAAAGGTGGGAATGAACAAGGTGGTACTCGCATTTTCGGCCCCTCTCAGAAGTATTCGTCGCGGGACCTTGCAGCTCATACTACTCTAAAGCCTAGGTAATTTTTTTAACTTCTCTATAATGTATATACTTGTTTTCATATGCATTAGGGTGTCAATGGCCCAAGAATAAAATTTAGGATATTAGAACATGTTTTCATTATGTTGCTAGTTTTGCTTTTGTTCTTAATTGAATGTGTGATGTGTGTAGATAGAAGGTAAATAATTCTGGCTGAGACTAAATCTTGTTTGTTCATCAAATATTTACTGTTATCCTACTCTTGTTGTCATTTCACCTGTATGATGTTGGCGTAATGTGTTTTTAAGGGTTGATTTTGGAGATTTTCCATATTCGAAACCTATGTTACTTGAACTTAGGTTTGAGGTATTGGATATGAGTATGTCTCACATGGGTATAATCAATATTTTCTATGTTTCATGTATTTGGAGGATTTTTGGAGGTCATATCGCCATACTCTGTATTAGGCACAAGTGTCAAATGCTGGTATTCAAGAAAAATGGATAGTTGGATCAACATAGTTCAAAATCATACTTCTAGGCATTAAGAGATGTATTGTAGCTCTAGTTGTATCATGAATGAGCTTATTTATCGGTTTGTTTTGCATGTGCGGGAATGCAGAAAGGATGGGCAGGACACCCAGGATGAGGTGCAGAAGAGAAACCTCCGTGATGAGCTTGAAGAACGTGAACGGAGGCATTTCTCATCAAAGGACAAGTCATATTATGGTAAAGAGGAGAACATTTTAGCAACCATTCTTTGTATATTTGCATGAATTCTCTTCTATATTTATGGTCGCCATAAATTTCCTATTGTTTTGATTCTTAATATGTGAGTATATTTTTGTAGATGATAGAGATCATAGGAAAGGGAACCATCTTCTTTTGGAAGGTAAATTGCCAGCTGGCCTATTGTTATCGAAATAATGAGCTCTTAAAGCACTTTACTAACTGTGAATGTCACTTGTAGGGGGGAAAAGGGAGATTGAAGACCGAATTGTTCCACGCAGTGTTGACGCTGATGATTCTGACGTGGAAGTCAACAATGACGATGAAAGGTTCTATTTGTTGCCTCTATCTATGTTTTTTATGCTAGCACAATTCATCTCTCTGATGATTGAATTCTAAGTTTTTTGGAGTGTTTAGAAAGCCGACTGTAACATATGGCATATAGTTTCATGATTTCTGTCTTTCTGAAGTCGATAAAACACTAAAATGCAGAAACCTATAGTTTCATTGTGTGAAATCTATAAAAGAATTATCCCTGTTGTTGGTAACTTGTGATATTGCTGTTTTTCTACACTATTTTTAAAGATCTAATTTTTGTCGTAGTGATGATGATGATGATGATGATGATGAGGATGATGGAGAAGCTCTTATGGCAGAGCTTGAACGAATAAGGAAAGAGAAGGCCGAGGAGAAACTCCGACAGGTAAACTCTATGCATACTTTCATTGCTACTTACTCTAGAGTTTCTATGCTGTTAGATATCCTCCTGATTTTACAGATATAGAGTGTATCATTTAAAATATTTCATCAATACCAAAAGAAATGCTTTATGCTTGTGCAGGAAAAACTAGAGCAAGAAGAACAGCTAAAAACCAAAGAGGCTGAGCTTCTTCGGGGAAATCCACTACTCAATAACCCAACCTCTTTTGGTGTAAAAAGAAGGTACCTTGCATGAAATATCAAAACTTTCCCCATTGTGTTATTTAAGTAAAGCCTGACATTGCAAATGGCTTAAGTTCTTTCATGATCTTTGTTTATGTGGTTTAGGTGGGACGATGATGTGGTCTTCAAAAACCAAGCCCGTGGTGAAAACAAGCCTCAAAAGCGTTTCATTAACGATACCATAAGGAACGACTTCCACAGGAAATTCCTACTGAAATACATGAAGTAATTCACTTGTCCAGTAAAGTTATTACGAATCAAGTAGAGCTTACCGGTCTTAAGTAGTGTGCATTTCTAGCGGATTTGATAATGGTTTTGCTTTCCTAGAATGTGCGATGTTGTGTGTTAAACCTATATCTCCTAATGCATATGGAAATGATGCGCGTTTCCTTGAATTGGTTTAGACTTGCTGAAAGATCTATCGACATATTGTTTTGCTTTACTTTGCTAAATTTAATTCGGTCGGTGAGCTGTTCCTGGTTCTAGTAAATACGGGAATTGGTTATAGCAATCGATACAAAGAATGGTGACCGAATTTTTGGTTTCAACAGATGGTTAAGGTTTTTGAATTGAAAGCGGAGGTTTGTGCATATTTTATGACAGTTTACTAGGACTCAAAACAGTTCAAATTTTCATAATATTCATGTTTGGAGAGTTATTGGAGGATTATGTTTTAATATTCATATTCGAACGTGTATTGAGTGTACTTTAACCAAAAACAAAATTATTTAACCAAAAACTAATTTACTTATTTGAAAACTTAACTTCTGATTTTTTTGAGTTAATTATCTCTCTAAATTATGATATTTATTTGAAACTGGTTTTCATATTTTTAAATGTTTTAATTATATCATTATCTTTATTTTAAATTGGTTTCGAACATTTTGAGTGTTAATAATTTATCTCTAAATTATTGGTATATGTGTTAATAATTTTATCTCTAAATTATTGGTATATGTTAACTGGATCTCTTATTAATAAAATGATGTTATATAAACGATAAGTAGTGTATTATATCTTCGAAATTATTACTTAAGAGTGAAATTATTTTTTAATTTATTTATGTTTAAAATTAAGTTTTATTTAAATCCAAAATAATTATTTTTATATCACATTATATTATTATACAGTATTTTTATGATAATTAATAATTTTTATAATGATTTTATTAATAAAGAATATGATTACTGTATTCTGATCATTTAATATGAAATTAGAAGGTTTAGGATAAAATTAAAATATTTAGAATTAGAATCATAGTTTAAGGGGGGGGTAAATTAAAATATCTAAAAATTCAGAGATTGGTTAAAAATAAGAGTCATAGTTTTAGGATGTGTGGATAATTCAATTTTTTTCCTTTGGTTTTCTTTTCAAATAAGGAAAAGCATTTATATATTTCGTCCATAAAAAGCAGATGTGAAATAATAAATTCTAGGGGATTTTAATTTTATTTACAAAGAGGGGCACAATGCTTAATTCCAATTTTTTGGGGTCAAATTGGGCATTTTAAATCCTTGAAAAGCCTTAATCGTAAATTTGCAAAAACCAGCACCTAAGTCTTTGATGTACTTGCTCGACATTTGTCACCATCAAAACGACAGGATTTTGTTTGTATCTTAGCTTCGAATTCTCTTCAGCTCAAAGCTTTTATTTTTATTTTCCAAAACAACAATGGAAGTCTCAAGAGATTCTGCTAAAATCTTTAAGTAGCTTCGGCATTTTTGTCCCGCAAAACGTTTCGTTGTTTAACGAATTCTCTACGACAACGTTGATTTCTATCTGCTGCCAATCACTCAACATCCTCGGGAAGGGAACAACGAAGGCGACGATCAAAACCACATATCGTTTCCCGTTCCATTTGAAGAATGTTTTCATGGCCGACAAGTTGAAGATCTATTCCGACATCTCGCTGGCTTTTAAGAATCTGGATTATGTTGTTGATATGAACTATCACTGGATCACAAGGTACTGTATTTTTCTTAGCTGTTTTAAAAATAAAAATCATGTCAAATGTGGAGCTGAATTTTAATGGAACTATACTGATTTTATGCTAGAGTTATTATATTTTGGATTTTATAGTGATAATTTCTTATTGGCTATGGTGGATTTTGCTGAACCATTTTAGTTTTATGGTTGAATTGATTTGGGAAGCCGAACCTTTCCCTGAAAAAAAGGAAATTTTCCGTAGAAAAATCTGTTAAAATTTTCTTTATTGAAGGAAAATTTAGAAACAGATAAATCTAAATACTGGCTTAATGCAGAGTTGTAGCTCTATTTCATGCACTATAAATTAAATAAAATATTTAGTTGTCATGGATTTTCGTTTGATTTCGGTTTTTTTTTATTGTTCTGAAATTATGTTTAAACAGATTATATGTATTGCTTTTACGCCAGTTCTTGTATCCAACGGAAGGGGACTTATATAAGTTGGTAATGTTCTTGGTGGAGAAGCTTTCTGGTTCATCTGCAGCTGTAAAAATTTCTGGGGAAAGAAATGCCGATTCTAGACACAAATTCAAGGACTATAACTTGGAGCAAGTTTCAGTCTTCTACTCAAAATCTGTACGAGGAAGAGGTCAATCAAAATCTTCAAAAGGTTGAAGCTATCTTACAAGTTCTTAGAGTAGACGAATTCTCAGAATCAAGTTAGAGCTTTTAAGTGTAAATATCTATGGAACTTGAGCGGAGCTTCAAGAATCAGATTTGGGTTCAAGCTGGAGCTTCTTAACAGGATATAGAACAAAAAGCTGTTCATTCTTCTGTGTACGACCCCATTGTTTTACCAAACACAGTATGGAGCACAAAACTTGCTTTCTCAAGAAAAAGTGCTAGAGAAGGAACTAGAACCAAACACTTGACAAATGCGATATCTAGAGGAAGAGCTTGGATCGTGGAAGGCGACAGCAGATATAGCATTCGATGGAAGTCATCCTACGGATTTTTTTTTCTTGGAGCAACTTAACAAGCGGATTGATGCCCAAATGCATAACATTCTGGAACTGGAACCACAGTGGTATGATAACACTGTTCATAAGAATCTTTTCATGTTTTTCACAGCCACGATTTAGATCGTGCAAGTTAAACTCGCTCAAGTTATTAGTAATAAAGATTGCCTATATGCAATAGAAAGAAGAGCAGTATTTTGGGAGCATACTATCGAAGGGGATAAAAAGAAAGAAAGAAATCTTGAGGAACGTTTATATACAAACATCCGGAGGCTCTAGATAAACTCTAAAAGTTAAAGGGAAACCGAGCTAGAAACCTCATCCCAAATTAGAAAAAGGTGTGTTTTGCACAATGTCGTTGTTATTGAAATCAAATAATACATATTACAAAGGAACTTTTATCCTTGAACAACACTGTTTTACAGCCGAAAATCTTTAAACAATCGGCTTAACACATTCCCTAAATTACTCTGCTTTGATGTATACCTTATATCTTGGTAATTTTGTAGGGTGGGAGAACGCTTGAAACTAGCTGCAGATCTCAAGAAGCAGCCCGAGGTTGCATCTCGGAAGTCCTATATCGAGCGGATAAAGGAGATCACGAAAAGTAGTGGCAAACTCGACTCTGACATAGAACACATCTAAAGAGAAACTAGGGTCAATTCCATTCAGGAGAGCCACCTATGTTGTATTGGATGAAATTGTCTTCCTGTATGGGCTGATGTTAATTCAGCCCTCTTGGAGCTCCTCCATTTCCGGCTTTGGGGCCTCACTATAGGCGATATATTAAAAGAAACTCGATTACACTTTTTCCTTAGAAAGAACTTTGTATGTGCAGGGAAGCAAAGATAGACGTAGACCGGCAACAGGTTTACAGACTGCTCGCCAGCATCCATGAAATCTCAAAATGTTTTCATCCAATAGAATTACAAGAGAAACAGCTGTTCTTGAAAATACAGACGAACTACAACCTGACATCGACACCATTCTGAAGGAAAATGAGTGCCTGGAGCAACAGCTTCGACACAATTGAACCAACTGTACATCACTAGAATCCATTTTTTCGATTGAAAGTGATTTTGTTATTGGTTGTAATCATATTTTTGTTTGGAACTTTGAATTTAACCACAGGTTTGTGTCTCATTATAATGCTTGGAGAACAATAATTACAACTGTGACCTCTTATGTGAAGCAAGAAGAAAATTATGAAGTGGCAGAAAAAATAACTAAGTTCAGGAAGAAACTGAAAAAAGAAACTAGGCAGCTTTTGATTTCAACTAAACAGATATAGAAGCTCCTCATATACCAATTACAGCTTTATATCGTCGTTTCCTCACTATTCAATTCAAAATTTAATATACAGGTGAAACATAATCGAAAAGAGAAGGAAAAATTGGCAAAACCCCACCTAATTCAAAAATCTAATTTACCTCTTCAATTCCTATAGAGTTCTCTTACGACAATAATTAGAGTTCCAATTGAACAACAAACAAAAGGTTTGCTACCCAGGAAAACACAAATTGCGGGGCGAAAAGGCAAAACAAAGTCAGCAACAAACATATTTTCCCCACCACACATCAACTCTAATGTATGAGATGCCTTTCATATATACATTCCAAGAGTAGGACAGAGTTTCAGTGTTTTACCTTCCGAAAGTTCCTCAATGGTTTTCTTCTAGATTGCATCATCGCAGGATTATTATTGGTTCAGTAATTAGTTTTCCAGTTTACCTGTTCAAGTTGAGGGTGCTGATAAGGGCCCGTTGGGGACCTACAGTTCCGACAGCATCAGCCATAGGTTGAGACTGTTGTAGTAGGGTGTTAATGTTGGAAGGAGCTGCCATTGTTTGTGGAGGCGACGGATAAAGTCCAGAAAAAGCAGCATGACCAGCTTGTTAGGAGAGTAAGGAAGCTGCTGGCCATGAAGGGAAAGATTGTATAAAGAATTAACTTGCAAGTTGGATAAATCTTGCCCCGGTGCAGGCATCCACAGAGCTGAACCTTCATTCTGACCCACAAAAAAATTAATTAACTTGCTAATAGAAGTACAATGAATATAACAATCTACTATATGCATATGCAGACAAAATAAAACAAAACCCCCAGTACTACAATGCATATAATCCATCATGGTAAAACAGAGAAAGTATAAAAGGAAAAGGACAGCAAAACCAACCAGTGGACCAGTTGTGTATATATGATTTTCCTTCAACTGCAATGCTGCAATATCCTCCTTGCTGCTAGAGCTTGCAGAAGTCACTGATGGAACAGGTAAACTGAAACCAATAGGTGGGGAAGTCAATGGACCGTAGCCAGAT